TTACTGCTTTCCCCCTTGGGGATTACCAATGTAATTTATTTTTATTTTTCCTCCGGTGTGCGACTCGAGCTCGAGTCCACACGCTCATAAGTCTGCTTTCCTACCTACGCGCTGATTTTGCTTTATTCAAAAAGGCGACAATGCTGGTTTTTAACTATAACATTTCATGTTTCATTTTCTATGGCTCAATACACACCACTTTGTGTTTGTTTAGTGTTAAGTGGTTTTGTTGAACAAAAATTTCGGGTACAAAACAACTGATATCAAATAAAAAAACTTCTTTCGAAGTAATTCCACGTGACGGAAGCGAACACGAAACAGTTGATATCAATTTTAAAAAATCACTTCGGAGCGATTTATATTTGCTTTTTTTGCATTCTTCCAACTAATTTCAGAATCGCTCCGTAATGATTTTTTAAAATTGATATCAACTGTTTTGTGTTCGCTTTTGTCACGAGGAATTACTTCGAAAGAAGTTTTTTTATTTGATTGTGGATTCAGCAATTTATAAACGAAATCAGTGTCGACTTCGCATCGAATACAACGATTCACGTGGACAACGAAAGCTCAATAAAAATCGGAAATGTTGAGGCTTTCCGTGAACGAACAAAGCATATAGACGTCCGTCATCATCACGTACGTCAGCAGATAAAATTAAAAAAAGATCTGCCTGTGCCATGTGGCCACCCACGAGAACGTCGCCGATTTGCTAACCAAAGCATTACCGGGCGAAAAAGAACGCGCATGTGTTATTGGAATGTTAATGAAACAGTAAACAATATTTTTGCTTAACACTATGATTGTTCTTGGGGCACCCAGGGCCCCCAGCGAACTTTAAAGTTGAATAAAAGTACTAAACAGTGTATAAACCAACCGGAGTTAAGTCTCATTGTATAGATTGAACATTTCTCTACACGAATGAAAAAAAAACATATGCATATGTGTGAGTATGTGTAAAATACAGCCTGCCGCAAAACATGTTACGCTGTTGTTCTTGGGGGACCACAGGGCCCCATGGCTATTTTATATTATAGCTGGACTATGATAAGAGATATCGACTTGGTGCCTATGACGAAGTTGTAGTTCTCAAGCTGCTCTACAACTTCGCCTTAGACATCAAGTCGTTATCTCTTATCAGTTACGCGAAAAGCCGCGAAAACGTGAAAAACGCGAATTCATAGTTTCTCACTTTTCAAGGAACTGATAAGAGATAATGAGATGGTGTCTATGGCAAAGTTGTAGCTCTGGTCGAGTACTAGAACTTTACTACGACACTAAGTCGTTATCTCTTATCAGTTACGCGAAAAAATGATAAGAAAAAAATCGCGTTTTTCACGGTTTTCTGCGGTTTTTCGCGTATTCCGCAAAACTGATAAGAGATAGCGAAATAGTATCTATGGCAAAGTTGTAGTTCTGGTCAAGTACTACAACTTCACTACAGACACCAAGTCGTTATCTCTTATCAGTTACGCGAAAAAATGATAAGAAAAAATTCGCGTTTTTCACGGTTTTCGCGGCATTTCGCGTAACTGATAAGAGATAACGACTTGGGGTCTGTAGCGAAGTTGTAGCACTTAAGCTGCTTTACAACTTTGGTATAGACACCATCTCGTTATCTCTTATCAGTTTCGCGGAATACGCGAGAAACCGCAGAAAACCGCGTTTTTTTCCTTATCATTTTTCACGGAACTGATAAGAGATAACGAGATGGTGTCAAAGGCAAAGTTGTAGTTCTGGTCGAGGACTACAATAATTCTGATTCATTATTCCGTTATCTCTTATCAATTACGCGAGAAACCGCAAAAAAACGCGTTTTTTTCCTCATCGTTTTTTCACGGAACTGATAAGAGTTAACGAAATAATGAATCGGAACAATTGTAGTACTCAACCAGAAATACAACTTTGCCTTAGACGCCATCTCGTTATCTCTTATCAGTTCCGTGAAAAATGATAAGGAAAAAAACGCGTTTTTTCGCGGTTTTCTGCGGTTTCTCGCGTATTCCGCGAAACTGATAAGAGATAACGATTTCATGTCTATGGTGAACTTGTAGTACTCAAGCTGCTCTACATTTCTGTCGAAGAGGTAAGTCTCTTACTTCTTATCATCTTCACTAAAACGATGTGGGAAAATTTCACGATTTTCGCGTTTTTTCGCGTTTTTCGCGGAACTGATAAGAGATAAGCAATATTTGTTACACCAAAATTATAGCAAACTTTGAGTATTACAACTTTGCTTCAGACACTAATTTGTTATCTCTTATCACAGTCCAGATTTCATATGAAGTATCTTGGGGGGCCCTGGAGTCCCCCAAGAGCAGTAATATGTTGCAAATATGAAGAACAGTCATAGTGTTAAATTGCAACATAACCATTTTTTTGTTTCTTTAATTATTTTCATTTAGATTCAAGCAGATTCAAGCAGAAAAATACCAGTAATAGTTCATTATTTTATTTTTGGTTTCAAAAGTCCAAATATTGTTTATCCAAATTCCGTTTAAAATTTTGTAGACTTTATGATTAAGTAAGCAATAACTTCATACGCATTTTTGAAAATTAAGCACTTCTTGGGCGTATAAAACATGTCTGAATCGATCAAAAGCCATTCAGTTATTCGATTACCATTGAGAGGCAACCAGGAAAATCAAAGGAAGCAACCATGGGCATTTTCGGTTCGTCAGAGGAAAACACCGAGACCAAGCAGATTGACGCTAACGGAAATGTGAACAACAACATCATCATTAGAGAAGCAGAAGATACTCACCAACAGATGTTATTGAACGAAAAATTGCTCTTCGCTACAAATTTGTTAGTATTAGCTGAGGTTTTAAAACTAAGCATATTTTTATATCAAAGCATTAAGAAAGCATTTAAAAAGAAGTATCAAAATACAACTCGCGATTGATGTAATTGTAAAATCAAGAGATTGTTCAATTAAGAGAGTGTGTTATGAATATCATGTTTCACATAGCATTGTATTATGAATATTGTGTCGCATAGCGCATTAACAAAGAATATCATTAAAAGCAGTTCCCCATTCTCACTCAACTAAGCAAGTTCGTTTTATTTCATTCTCTGTTCTTTCTTTTGTTTTTGAACATTTCAGCGGTGTGAATTATTGTAATGTATACTCCTTTAAATAAATTTCGGTCTTTTTGAAATATGAACAAATGTAAACCAGACTTCCTTACACTGAACGCAGCGAACTCAGCAATGTAGCGAGCTCTGTAATGTGAGAGCTGTAAAAAAAATTTCTGCAAGTGAATTCGCCAATTTATTAGGACTGGTTCACACTGATTTCTCTGTTTTTCACTATAATCGTTTGATGTCAAATGGACCGAAATATATTTTAAGGAGTATACAAAGGTAAAATTACAACAACAAAAGTAAAGAATGCATCGAATTACTGAATGAAATCTCTGCTGAGCAAATTTTGATGTATTTACTAATGAAAAAACTGCTTACAGAAACACGTAAAATTTACGAGCAGTCACGTAAAATTCCAGATAAAGAACAAAAATTATCAGAATTCTTCGAATTTCTTCATAAAAGGTGCAAAGTACTACAAGCAGTGGAAGTAAATAGCAGAGGTAGTGAAAAACAAGTGAACGAAAAATGTCTGAATTGCTTGATGAGAATCATGCGATTTTTACTAGGGGCTTTCATGTATATTCCATCCAAGAAATATACACCATAGATGACAGTCATACGAAATATTCACAATACTGGCAAAAAATGCACCATATTCACGGAATATACACGATATTCATGAAATATACACCTCATATTCACGATCGGTAACAAAGATTGACATTGCCGTAAACACATATTTTTTACATGCTGTGTTTATTCTGTGAATATGGTGAATATTTTTCGTGAATATATACACGATATACACGGATTATATGCAATATTCACGAAATATTCACAAAAATACGAATGAATGTATATTTTGACTTAAAAGCCCCTAGGATTTTTATGTGTGTAAAATTTAAAGCACTATCAGTGAATGAACGTCAAACAAAAATCGCTTAGTTTACTGTGCCTTAGGGGTACACCAAAACATTCAGCTCTGGAATGCAAGTTTAAGAAAATGTGCCCACAGTGTGATAAGCGTCACAACGGTTTATTACATATGGACAATGAAAAATCAGACAAAAATGAAAAGAAATACGAGAAATTTGCGCATAATTCAAAAGATCAACAAAAAAAATCATATATGGCAACAACAGAGCACAAATTTGTGCAACAACACATGATGAAAATAACATGAACACTTTACTCGCAGCAGCCTTGATTCGGACCAGAATGATGTGCGGTTGGTCTGAAACTATACGTGTTTTAATTGACCAAGGTGCAATGACATCGTTCATTAGCGAAAAAATAGTGGAACGATTGAAATTAAATATAAAGAAAAATAACATAAACATCAGTGGCATTACCGACAGTGTTGAATCAGCGAAAGGCACAGTCGTAATTAAAATCGGATCCAGATACCCGACGTCGTTCTGCACTAAACTCACGACAATTGTATTGAAAAAACTTACTACAATGTTACCAAACAATGACTTTGATAATTCATTCATAGACACAGATGAATTAGTGATGGCCGATCCAAACTTCCACAAATCAGAAAAAATTGACATGATTCTTGGTGCCGATGTTTACAGTGAAATAATTTTATCCGGTATAATAAAAGCAAGTGATAAATCTTTTGTATTGCAAGAAACGGAGCTGGGGTGGATTATTTCCAGGCCAGTAAACAAACAGCGAAATGAGTTCAATGAAGCACTTTGTATGACCTGTACTGTGAAAGAAATGGACGAAAAGTTACAAAAATTTTGGGAAATGGAGGAAATTTCCGAGGAAGAAATGCTAACGAGCAAAGTTGTGTTGATTATTTCAACAATACGATAAGAAGTGATGTTGATATAGCTTATATCGCGTCGTTGCCGTTTAGAGGCGATCCAGCTACGATGTTAGGTGATTCACGAAGAATGACAATGGCTCGATTTTTCCAAATTGAGAAAATTTTTGAAAAAGATAAAGCATTGAAAGAAGCATACACAGCATATATTAATGAATTAATTGAGAAAGGCTACATGGTCAAATGTGTAAATAATAGTAGCGAACCACACTGTTATTTACCACACCATGTAGTGATGAAAGACAGTACAACAACAAAAGTACGACCAGTTTTTGACGCGAGCAGAAAAACTTCAAACGGAATTGCATTGAATGATTTACTCCGACCAGGCCCTAAATTAAAAAAGGATCTGTTCAATATTTCAATTCGATTCCGTACACATGCAGTAGCGTTCACGGCAGATATAGGGAAAATGTATTTGCACGTAAAACTAGATGAACAAGATCAACCGTATCATAAGATTCTATGGGGAGATAGTGTGGAAAAACCTATTGAAGACTATCGACTCACTACGGTTACATTCGGGGTAAATATTTCGCCTTTCATAGCAGTGGCAACTGTACAGCACCATGCAAAAAACGAAATGGAAAATTTTCCTGAGGCATGCAGTATCATTTTGAATGACTCGTATATGGACGATGTTAGCAGCGGGTGCGACACGGTGGAAGAAGCGATACAAAGAAGATCAGAAATAACGCACGTATTACAACAAGGAGGTTTCCCACTGAAAAAATGGGCATCAAACTGTGAAGAACTTTTAGAGAGCATTCCGGAAGATGAAATCGAGCTGAAAACAAAGGAACTCGACGGCTATAAGTATGTGTCAACACTTGGTCTCAAATGGTTCTTTGAGGGCGATAAAATTGGTTTTAAAATGGACATTGAAAGAAATGCATTAAAATATACAAAGAGAGCAATTTTGTCTCAAATCACTACCATTTATGACCCATTGGGACTAATGGCTCCGGTTACAATGTATAACAAAATTTTAATGCAAGAAATTTGGAAAGAACAATGTGATTGGGACGAAGAAGTGAGTGAACAAATCGCGACAAAGTGGAATGCATTAAGAGGAGAGTTACCTTTAATCAAAAACATCAAACCAAAGCGTTGGCTAGAGTGTAGCAATACAAAAAAAATAGAGTTGCATGGATTTTCGGATGCAAGTGAAGCTGCGATGGGAGCATGTGTTTACATGAAAGTATACAAAGACGATGAAATCCATGTAAATCTAGTAGCAGCCAAAACAAAGGTAACTAACGTTACCACGGTTGGAACTTTGAGCGGCTGTTTTGGTCGCGAAATTGATGAACACGGTGAAAAAATCGTTAAAATTGGAAATATCCGAAACACATTTTTACTCAGACAGTGAAATCGTGTTGGCATGGATAAATGGTGACATCAGCAGATGGAAAACATTTGTAGCAAACCGTGTTTCCAGAATACTCCAATACAGCGAAAAACATCAATGGCATTATATCAATAAAAAAGCAAACCCAGCTGACTTCGCATCGCGAGGGTTACTACCAACACAACTAATAAACAATACATTATAGTGGCACGGTCCGTCAGTGCTTTTGAATGAAGAAAATTGCAGCGAAAATATTTACAATATTCGGCCATATGACACGGATTTGGAAACAAATAATGCAGCAAAAACATCATATGAAAATGACGATTTACATCAAATGAACGACAAAGAAAAAAACCCGAAAATAAATGAACGGAATGAAAAATCTGCAGTAGAAAAAAACAAGCGCAAACGTAAACACAAAATTCAGTCTTCAAACAATGCAACTATAAATATAGAATCACGAAAAAAAGCAGACGGCACAAAGCATAAACAAACACGAAATACGATACTCTGTGCATTCGTCGCTCTCTTAGCATGTTTCTCACTGTTTGGAAATCCAAACATAACATCATTTTAAGCAAATTCGTTTCCTGTGTATATTCAACATAAAACACGGAAATAGGTTATTAAAATAGGCCGACTATGTTTAAGTATAAAAAAGCAGCAAATATATGAAATAAGTCAACTGTATTTAGTATAAAAGAGCAGCAAATATTATAAACTTAGTTCATTCATTCATTTAACAATTACAGTTAACTGTAACCATGTCGAGTCTTATTCATCAAACTTTTAAAGTTTCAATTTCAGAAACTTTTCATGGTCCTTCGACTTCGTATTCAAATGGAACACAGACCGTTTGAAGCCCAGCCCATTACGAAAAAAGTGAAATTGTTAGTGAAAGCCACGAAAAAATTGACAAAGAAAGTATCGAAAACGAAAATTGCACCAATAAGTTCCTCATGGAAAAATTGCTCGCAGAACAACAACAACGTGCCGACGATATAGAGTGGTCATATACAAATTTCAAAAAAAAACCACACACTTAAGAACTAAAGAGTTTATAGACAAAAGTGAACGTGATTTGGAAAAAACAAAAGAACAATTCGACAGCGAATCAGTTTTGTTGGAAGGTGACGAAAAATTACCAATAACGAACTACATCGAAATCAAAAAAGAAACTGAAAGAGTGTATCAAAAGTACAAGCAAAAAATTACTGAATTTCGAGAAGCACTCATGCAAACAACAGCAGCAAAGTCCACAGCGACAGCAACAGCAACAGCAACGGCGTCCACAGCGACGGGATCAAAGCCATCGGCACAGCCTACAGCCACGGTAATATCCACCCCAACAACAACAACAGCGTCCGCAGCGACTACGAACTCATTAACGGCAACAGCCATAGCCACACAATCATCAAGTTCAGTTGAAACTACAGCAGAAACTAATTCAAACGAATCGAGTGATCAATCATTAATTGCGAATAACAGCGAAGCAGCTATAAACAGCACAATGTCGTCTCAGCAAGAATTCGACACATTGAAGAAAAAACGTGAACTCAAAATAAAAATATTACACGAAAACATCGCGAAAATGGAAGCATATCTGCAAGAGGAGAAAACAAAGCAGTTCTACGATCAAAAAACAAAGCAACCAGCAAAGCTCAAGTTGGCAGATCCACAATATAATATACCAGCAGACGCAAACCGATTTTCGGCCGATCACGCAACATTGCATTAGCAAAATTGTTTGGAGTAGAGAAAAAATTCCGCGCCGATCCGCAATTTAAGCAATAATACATCGATAACATGAGAGAATACTTCGAAAATGGTCACATCGTCGAGGTCAATACCACAGAAGATCAGCATAAAACAACAATCAACGGTGAAGAAACGTTTACATGCGCATATTTACCACACCATGCTGTACTTAAAACAACCAACTCCACAACAAAATGTCGTTGCGTCTACAATGCATCGAGACGTACAACAAACGGTAAGACATTAAACGAACAACTGTTAACCGGCCCAACCATTCAAGATGACATCATGGCCATGTTAATGAGGTGGCGAACGTATGAATTCGTCATTAATGCCGATATCGCACGCATGTATCGACAAATAATCATGAATGATGAGGATTCGGAGTATCAACGCGTTGTTTGGCAAGAAAATGAGAACGAGACAATCCGTGATTATAAACTTATCACCGTGACGTTTGGCACAACTCCGACACCATATTTGGCTATTTAAACAATACACCGATTGGCCGACGACGAAGCCGAAAATTTTCCACTTTCAGCACCAGCAGCGAAAAGGGATTTCTACGTTGATGATTTCTTTTCCGGAAGCGAAACGAGAGAGGGTGCGATCAAACTACGTGTGAAAATCACCGAAATGATGTCGAAAGGTGGTTTTCAAATTCGAAAATGGATAGCAAACGACGAGTTGACATTGGCGGGTGTGCCTGAAGAAGAAAGGGGCATACCAAAGGTGCATTACGCTGGCCCCCCCAACATTTTGTGCTGGGGTGCGACCTATTCCATATTTTTGTGCTCATTTTGTGCTGAACAATGGTACAATTGGTTTTTTTTGTGCTCGTCTCCTCGATTTTGTGCTGGCGTTGATAGGTTTTTTTCTCATTTTTTGCATTTTTGTAGGGCAGGTACCCTAAAATCGGACTTTTTTGTATCGGCACTAGGCGCATAATTTTGTGCTAATTTTGTGCTGAACTTATAACTTTTCAGATCGCAAAAATCTCCAACTGGGGCCGAGCACAAAATAGATATCAATTTGTCAAAAAATCGAATTTGTCACTTTTGTAGGGCAGGTACCTTAAAATCGGACTTTTTTGTATCGGCACTAGACGCATAATTTTGTGCTAATTTTGTGCTAAATTTCTCACTTTTCAGATCACAAAAATCTCCAACTGGGGCCGAGCACAAAATAGATATCGGTTTGAGAAAAAAAATTAAATGCAAATACAAAATTTTATTAATAAAACTATAGGTATAATTATAATTAATGCAACTTCGATATCAAATATTTTATTTTATTCAGAATTAGCTCAAAGACGAAATGATAGGTAAAAGAATTTGAAATGAAAAAAAAATATTGGGCGAATAATTAGTAGCTTCATTTTTATCGACAACGAATCGCTCTACAGTGAGAAAACTTAAAGATTCATTAACGTTATTTTTTGTGCAGATGCTTTTGTTTTTGAAAATATTTTCGCTTTGCTTTGCTTTCGATAACATAGATAATATGAAGTGAAAAGAAAGACGACATGGTCCGTAATGTGTGCTTGAGCAAAATTAATTACCCTTTTCAGAAATCACATACATTAATGTATCTATTATAAATTCTTTTCTTGGTGAAATAGATTTCGGACTTTTCGTATCTCTATCGTCATAAACCTCCCACTGGTTATTAATTTTGTTCGCGCACACAGTATGGGATATGTCAGAAACAATCCCGTCTAATACATAAAAAAACTATTTCGCCAAAAGTATTTTGGACGATAAGTGTGCAGTTGATTGAAGTGTGGCTGATTTTGCTTGTCGCTTCAAAAAATGTGTTTGTTTATTTCTCACAGACGAAATGTTTTTTTTTCAAATGTACATCATATAATCGAAAGAGCTGTCGATATTTTTAACGGTGTAAATGCTTCAATATGAAAATAAAGCAAATTATGATTCTTTTAGCGATTGCTGTTGAATTACAAACGAGAACATTTTAATTCAACGAAAAAAACTTGAATTCGGCTTGACACATATTGAACAAAAGAAAATAGAGAAATAATATTTTAAAAAATCTTACCTAGTCTATGTACCACCGATCCTGTAGCGTCGCAGGTTATTTTCGTGTACTTGGTTCGTTTAAAGTATTCGCGATACAATAAAAACTGATTTTCACTTGCATACATGATGTGAAAAAAGGGGGAACCTCCAATCGAACGAATCATAGAGCGATAAGCATGCGAAAGTGCTAAATCTTTCAGAGCCTTTTCTGGATCCGGTGATAGCTTATCCATTTGGCGCCTTCTACTTTGGCCTGCTCTTATTGCGTTTTCAGTGATTGTACGACCTCTTTCCGGCTCGAACATTTGTGAATTGCTTTTTTTGACCAATTCCCGTTTCAAAACAGAGGCTTTCTTGTCGGATGAAAACAATTCATTGGCTCTCGCACCACCTATTCTTACATTTTTTCGGAAGTTTGATGAGTGTTTTTCTGATACAAAATCGCGCACAATAAATTTAAATTTCACAATTTTTTCAGATTCGACAGGCTTTTTAGTAACTTCACCTAACAAACGAGCTTCACATGTCGTACATTTTGCCGATATGTTGATGTATTTTTCCCCTTCGGGATGGACTTTCGCGCGCTTGAAAGACCAAGTGCAAGGATTTTTCATTCGATGGTTTGCAATCTGATCTGCTAAAACCGTTGTCCACAAGCCAGGTGTAAGCTCGTGGTAAATCCTTTTTTTGTCACCTTCCCGTCGATGTTCTTTTGGAACGGGTTCGATCGTTTTCCATGCATCAAAGGACAACGATATTGTAAAGTTTATGTCGTTGATTTGAGGTGCTTCATCTGCCGAAGACACATAACTTTCACTCGAGTCACCTGGTGAACTTGCATCGACGGGTTCATCGGAAAAGTCACCATCGGGGTCTTCTTTTGGTTTCTCTGATTTTACTTGCCACCATCTCAAGGCATCGGTGTTAATGGCTTTCGGTGTCTTTTTATGTTCAATTTGTTCAGCAATTTCGATCCAAATATCTGCACTTGGCACAGTCACTTTATTACGATTATCCATGATTTTATCTACGTTCTCTTCGAATTTAGTTTGTAACAATTCCAATAAACTATGCAATGGTCTCCCACTCATTTTCGAAGGCAAAGTTGTCACAAAATCACCAAATCAATTTTATTCAATTCAATTATATTATACTTGACGTGTTATCGGTTCAAATAATGCTCTTCAACTGAATTCGGTAGCGAATCAATTGTTTCAATTT